AGGAGCAATGAGAGTCTGGTGACAGGAGGCAGAGGGAGTTGTAGAATCTCTGACGGTGGCCTGGTTCTGTGATCTCTGGGCGTTCCTGATACATTGTGAAGCAGGCTCACTGGGATTAAAGGATTAATGAGCAGGCAGTACAACACTGTACAATCTACACCTGAACAGGTGTGTTCTTCTCGTGCTATGAGCTCCCTTCAATGGGACTATTTACTGGCAATACCAGAGTATCTCACTCTTTTTTTCTATCACTCCCTCTTTGCTCAGTCTTGAATTTACATTTGGCCAAAGTCAACCCGAATAAAGTCAACGTTCTCTCGTTTCACCTCTGAAAGACCCTGGAGATTTCAGGCACCAAAGTTGACTGAGACAAAAAATTGGCAGTCCTCCTCTTAGCCATTAGGTTGAGTTTGAGGGCCAAACCACACATGAATCATGTGGGAGGTCCGTCACTGGATCTTCTGGCTTGTTTTTGTTTTCCTTTGAAACAAGCACAGGGAGCTTGAATTTTATTAGGGGAGGGGCATGAATCTGAGAGTGGCTGTGGACGTATTTCACCACATCTGAGCTCTGGAGGGTTTCAAGTATGCCACGATGCATATACCACCACAATGCACCCTGTTGTTTTGGGGCTTTTATATTTCTTAAAATGCTGTGTGGCACCCTGATAATATTTATACAACAGAGTGTATACAAATTGACTAAATCAGAGCTGAGCATTTGTGGCCCTCCAGATGTTTTGTCCTACAACTCCCATCAGCCCTAAGCAGCAGAGGCAGTGGTGCAGGATGATGGGAGCTGTGGGCATAAACATCTGGAGGAATGCAAGCTACCCACTTTTGGACTACATAAAAATGTAACTGGTAAACTCCAGCATCTCGTGGTAAATCCACTAAGTATTACAGACAAGAGATTGCTTATTTTTGAACACCTATGAGCTCTTGTCTATTTATGAGGCCAACAAACTGGCAAGTTACTCAAGGCCCTCTAGAATCAGGCCTCCATCTCTGGAGATTTCTGAGGTCTCTAACTCTTTCATTTTTCTTCTTGAAGGGGAGTCGCTCTTTTGTCAGGGTTTGCGGCTGTAATGTCGCACTTGGGCAAGCAGTCTGCTCTTGCGAGTGGAGAGTGAAATGAAATATGGACGACCCCTTAGGATCTGTAAGGAGTAATTTAGGAACTGTGGGCCATGGCATGCTGAAAGGCAAAGGAAAAGTGATTCACAGTTCCTTACTACTTCAGATGCCAGACAACTGAGGAACGCTAAAAAGAACATAAAAACATTTAAAACTAGTGTTGAGATTAGTGGACTGAAGAGGGTAGAGGGACCTTAATTGAAACTCACAAGTCCTGTGCCCTGACCCTGAATAATCTCAGTGTTAGCTAAACCATAGTCCCTACTTTATCATTCTAAAAGAGTATCAAAATGAACTTTTCTGTTCTGGCACTCCATCTGTGGAAAGCGTTCGCGACAGAGATTCATCTGGCATTTATGAGTATGCTGTGATTTTTTCAATACCCTTATTGTCTCAGGATTTTAATCTCTCAATTTCTGTTGTTTTTAAGTCCATTACTATATTTTAAATATTTGCACTGCTGCTACATTGTATTTTGGTTTTATATTTTAGTTTTAAGCATTTATTTATTCATTCATTTTTATACTGCCCAATAGCTGAGGCTCTCTGAGCAGTTAAAAGTTACAGTTAAAAGTTGAAAAAGACACACACACAAACAAAACAGCAAAACCATACTAGCAGTCCTAACTGAATCAGCAGAGGCATAGCAGCGGTACAGAATAAAATGGAATATATAAAAACAAAGTTAATAAGTTAAACTGGTAAAATGCTGGGAAAATTAAAATGTCTTCACGGGGCACCAAAAAGAATACAAAGTAGGTGCCAGGCACACTTCTTTGTGAAGCTCATTCTACAGTGGGGGTGGGGCCACAACCAAAAAGGCCATCCTCCTGGTAGCGGCCTGTCTCACTTCTTTTGAAAGTGTATCCTGGAGAAGGACCTCCCCCACTTTTATATTAAGTTTCTTCAGGTTGTATTTTATGGTTTTAATTAGGGAATCTTTGGTAAGTGCTAAATCAGTTATTAGAATCCAAGGCCTCTTGTCCTAGTTCCCTCTCTGCAATGGGGGAAAAGAGGAGTCTTCCCATTTTCTCATTAGCCAAATGTTGATAGACCTATTTTTCAATGGTGTGTTATGACATTATCACATCTAAGACTTAAATAGGCCCGTAGTATAAATAAGTTGGCTAGAATATATATTGGGTTAAAGAAAATCATTCGGTTTTCTTTTTCTGTATGGTATTAATTCACATGACACAAATAGCTTTGGAGAGGTTCAGAGGTGCTTTTTACAATACTTTGTGTCCATTCGGTCTTAGTGGCTACTCAGTGTGCTACATTTTGCATAAGGCCCTTCAGGTGATGTCCGCAAAAGCTGAGCCCTCTGATGTGGCAAGTGAGCATCAGAAACAACCTTCCCAGAGGCTCCCAGTATCCTTAGATATGGGAAACACATCGCTGAGGCAGGAAACAATTGATGGACTCTGTCAGCTGACTCAGTGGTGGGGAATGTACAATTTCTTTGCCTTTTGAGCAAAACAAAGAAAAAGGGAGAACAAGAATTCTAACTAAAAGCAAAGGTAAAAGGGGCTATTTATAGAAGGTAAAGAGGGACACCACAGTGCTCGAATTAAGGAGTCCCTGGAAGAACAGGTGTCTTATGATGCCAGGTTCTAAATAATGTATATTTCGGTTTCCAAGACATTTGTCTTAATTTTCCACCATATAAGTTTGGAATTCTTATAGCAAACAGAACTGAAGAATCCAACCTTGTTTATTCTACTGAGACCTGAATGAATAAACTTGGAAGAGTTGAACTCTTCCAGCTGCATCCCTTGGCTTTTTAATGAAGCACTGCCATAGGCTTGAAGGTTGAGATGGGAGTTCAGTTGTGGTCTTTAGGGGCTCCATCTCCCAGTATTCTTGCCCAGCAGTGCTCGATTTTGAGTATTTGTATCTATTGGACAGAAGGGATGGAATAAGTAGGTCTGCTAGTGTTGGCCACCCCACTGCTTTTCTGTCTAAGCTGATGCACCTGGACTCAGCTTCAGTGAGCACCAAGAAACTGGAGGTTCTAGGGGAAGTCAGCATTCGGAACAACTGAAGACTTCATCTCCACCATGACAAACATGAGGCTCTCTCAAAATCAACATGTCATCAGTCTAACATACGTGGCTGGACACAGCTTTGACCTGTTTCTTTGACTGAGGAAAGAACTGTGATATGAATATAGGGGATTTGGTTCTTTGTCAAGGCCCTTTGCTGATGAGATTTAGGCTTGCACCTACTTCTACCTGCTGTAGGCATGGAGGACCTAGTATAATTGTCTGGCCCTAGAGGCTGATAGATTCTGATGGATTGTTGCTCCATTCTTCAGCAATTAGGCTATGGGTTTCCATCTTATTCCCCACCCTGCCCCATGCTGATCCACCTCTATGGGGGAAGCTATCCAAAGAAAAGGACTGAGGTATTGCCAATACATGGATGACGTCCCCTTTTCACTAAATACAGGTGTGTCAGTGGGTGCTTTGAATCAGTGTCTGTGTCTAGTAATGGACTAGACTTCCTTTTTTCTTCATGACATATCAAATTTACTACAATAGGTATGAGTGCACAAAAGCAAGTTTATAGAGGAAATCATTTAAAAAGCCCAGCTGTGCAATTCCCAGAGAAATATGTATTTGTGCATTGAAAACTTGTGGAAAATATTTCCAGAATGTTGATGGGTAAAAATGAAGTATTATAAGGATGATTTTATTTGTTTCTTTGTTTCATTTGTGGTACTTATATCCCATGCTGTTGCCCAATGACCTCAAGTTGTCTTATAATAAATATAAAAACTGACAACAAATAAAACCTCATTAACATTTTACAAGGCCATAAAAACTGTAAATGACAATAAGATCTGCACATAAAAATGAAGATAAAACACCTATAAACTAGCAGAAACAGAAGGATTTAAAATACTGTTAAATGTCATTAAGGCTAAATACTCGGGTTTCAGATATAAGGGTTTACTTTAGTTCTCACAGTGATTTGTGTTTTAGGCCTTCATATTTCCACACCTTTGTTGCAGATAGGATGTGAAATAATCTGGCAATAGTGAAGGAAAACATGGTAGCAGATAGTATTGTTACAAAAATCATGGAAGAAGAGACAGGTTTTGCTTCCTATTATTATATTGATACTATTAAATTAAAAATAACTTCATTTTATGACTTTCTGTTGACTAGGAGCTGAAACTCAGTCTGCTTCTAGTCTGGGTTACTTTCCCATATATTCAGTCGTAAGTCTGTTCTGTCCAATTTCCACAATACTCTGAGATTTAAAATAAAATAAAAATGCATACATGTTCATATGCAACTTCCCCTAGCTTACATATTTTGTATGAAATCTTTCTAGTACAAGCATTTTTATATGCAACTTTCCTTGGGACTGCATTTTTATATGCAATTTTTGAACTGAGAACTGAATTGCAAAGTTCAAAAACGTGCACCATCAGAAGTCAATTTGTATATTAGTCTGGAAAGGGCACGTTATCCCAGTTCACTAGAAAATGTAGACCGATCAAGATTCCTCCGTATCCCTAGCAGGCAGCTACCAAAGCTGACAGGGAATGAGATGCTCCTGTGATTATCTGGGTAATAGCACCTCTGCTGACTAGGAAACATTCCGTTTCCCAGGACTGGGCTGAGCAACTAACATGGGACAGTTCACCTCAAGGTCCCTTACAGTCTCTTCTGCAGGCTGACAAGTCTCGCTCTGGCCAGAGCCCAACCCAGGGATCATCTGGCATGCCAGAGTGGGTCCCATGTGTTTATCTTTGATGGCTGAGTCTTTGTGAAGGCTGAACGTTCCATTAAGTTAGGACCCACCTTTGAACTCATCCAAGCCGTGGCTTTGTTTTGTCTCGTCTTTCTTCAGGGATCTGAGCATGAACAACATCAGTGAGCTGCTCCCTGGTGAACTCCACCACCTGCGCTTTCTAGAAGAACTGTAAGTATCGCTGTATGCCTAGAGTGCTTGTTTGGGTACTTCCGGCAAGGCTTTTGCTGTCATTGCTTGGGCTCATTCGCAGAATTTTACTAGGGGTCCAGAAGATGATGATGTCTCCCACTCACAGACCTCACATATTTTGCCACCACAGTCTCTTACCACAGAAAATATGCAAACAAGAATGGATAGAAAGTAGTTCACAATACCTACAGATTGCTAGCATGAGGGCCCCTCTATTTAGAAGCACTCATTGTTTGCTAGTTCGCCATTTCCACCCTTGTTCAGGGACAAGCTGATGTGACCAACTTCAGTAGCCATGATTTGGCACAAGGAAATAAGCGGAATGTGTTGGGCTGCCTTATATGGAATCAGCCCATTAGTCCAGCTAGCCCTGAACCATCTGCTCGCAGTGGTAGCTGCCCAGGGCCAGAAGCAGAGGTAATTTGCAGAACATAGAACAGGGTCTGCATTAGAGGTGGCATGTCCTGGTAGCTGCTCTGGAGGAGTGTGCTAGGAGGAGCTACCACCACTGACAGTGACTCACCTACCTACTCACGCAGGCAAACAGTGAATGTTAAGGAGGAAGAGCAGTGATCTCTGTCCTGCCCTCTTCCTCTGAGTGGTAATGAGAATCGGGTCCAGCAGTCAGAAGAAGAGGTCCAGCTGGCCCATCACTCCCCAGAATGATAGGACCCTCACCATCAATTTGCTGCATAGTAAAGAAAAAAAAAGACTTACTTTATATTAACACTGATGGGATCTGAGCTCTCAGTAAGGGACCGGGAAAGAGATCATGGGGATTGGTAGATATCTATATAAAAACATCCTCCCAGTCTGTGGTGGTTTTGTGTGTGTGCGTGAAAGCAAATTCCATTTGTGTGAAAAAGGCAACTTCCACCCAGATTCAGGGACAAGCTGATGTGACCAACTTCAGTAGCCATAATTTGGCACAAAGAAAGGAAGACGCTGAAGAATAAAACTGCCAATAGTGTAATCTCTTTGTTTTGTTTAGTCGCAAAGTTTGCCCAATCCATCACGACCCCATGGACAACATTCCTCAGGCCAATAGTGTAATAGCTTTGTATAAATCTATGCTGTGATTTCACTTGGTATACTGTATACATTTCTGGTCATTGCACTCTGAAAATATATTATATTGATGGAAAAAGTAAAGCAAAGGGCAACAAACATTATTAGGGTGCTGCAGCAACTCCCTTGTAAAGAGAACTTTACAATATTGGTGGCAGGTTTGCTTAGAAAAAAGGGAACATGAGAGAGTTATGCATGATGTGGAGGAAGTGGGTAGGTGTCAGTTTTTCCCTCTCTTCTAATAGTAAAACCTAGGACAGGAGTTCCCAGCCTTATTGGACCCATGAGCATATTTGGGTATTTGAGAAACTGCTGTGGGCATTACCACAAAATGCTTCAGCAGTGGATTGCTATTTTGGTCTCTGCTTTTTGTGTCTAATGAAATTAGGCTATGTCTTACTCAGCAAAACTTTTTGTTTCGTGTTTCTTGCACACCAGAGTGTTTCTTTAATAAGCGAATGTCTAATTCAGTCATTGCTGCTGGTGCAGTACAGATAATGCTAATTCTAAATGCATGTTTTTGCAATGTCCATTAGTTGCTTCTTTTGGGTTGGAGGTTGTTGCACTGATAAATTTTGTACTGGAACACTCTTTTGTATTCATGGAAGTACCTGCTCTTTTAAATTATTTACCTGGAAATGAACAGATGGAAGTGTAGATTCTATGTGTCCTTCTGACAGCTAGAAGACTGATATTGCAACAATGGAAGGATAAATGCTCTCATTCTCTAAAGCAACAAATTGGGAATCTTATGATTTCAGCATTTGAATGGGTAGCATCCAGATGCCATCTTCAAATGAATATTTGGTCTACTTTTGTTGAAGCCTCTGTATAATTGTTAGAAAGTTTTTATGCATTTCATATGCATTCATTGCTATGCATATATAGAGGAATCCATGTATGTATATTAAAATAGATTTTTTTTTAAATGGTGGGTGTCCACAGGCACTATGTATGGCACCCATTCAGGACACCATTGGAGATGCCAGTAGGTAATGTGTTGGGAGCCCCCAACCTTGCATGATCCTAAAGAGGCAAAAGGAAATGCATTTTCAAATACCACTTAGTTGAGCTAAGCAATTCACTGCTGCAAGGTGATGGCCATTTGCTTTAAAAGTAAATTAGATAAATTCATGAAGATAAAGACGTCAATGGCTCCATGATATGTGCTACCTCTAGTAAGCCCTACAGTATATCACAGAAGTGAGTACACCCCTCACATTTTGTAAATATTTTATTATATCTTTTCATGTGACAACCCTGAAGGAATGACACTTTGCTACAATGTAAAGTAGTGAGTATATAGCTTGTATAACAGTGTAAATTTGCTGTCCCCTAAAAGTAACTCAACACACAGCCATTAATGTCTAAACCGCTGGCAACAAAAGTGAACACACCCCTAAGTGAAACTCTCCAAATTGGGCCCAAAGTGTCAATATTTTGTGTGGCCACCATTATTTTCCAGCACTGCCTTAACCCTCTTGGGCATGGCGTTCACCAGAGCTTCACAGGTTGCCACAGAGCTGGTGGATGGTAGAGAACTTGTGCTCCTCCACCTTCCGTCTCAGGGTGCCCCACAGATGCTCGATAGGGCATAAGGAAGTGTCATTTCTCCAGGGTTGTCACATGAAAAGATATAATAAAATATTTACAAAATGTGAGGGGTGTACTCACTGCTGTGATATACTGTATATACCAGATGCTGAGGAATAAGAGTGAGAAGGTGTTCTTACCCCATGCCCAGCATGGGAATGTCCTACAGGCATCTGGCTGGACATTATGAGGAACAAGATACTGGACTTTGGTCTGATCTAGCAAGACTCTCCTTGTTCTCATGGGAAATATATTAAATGAGTTGGCCTAATAAAGGAATACTTCACCTATTTTGTGAGCCAAGTAATGCCTTATTTTTCTTATATGGGGACTAATATTAGCATCAAAGAAAGTTTGTAAAATAGAATGTGCCTGTTAAAACATCAGCCAAGAACCATCATATGTATCATCTTTCCAACCCACGGGCACAGAGCAAAATTAAAATGCCAGTTTTCTGACAGAAATGTTCAGCTTTGCTTCATAACACTACTGGGAAATGTATATACGCACAAAAAGCTTTCTTTCTTATCACTTGATGGCAGACTGCTGAAAGTTTGAACTGATACCACTGAAAATCATTATGTTTCAGGTTAAGGGATCTGTATGATTTTGGGTGATTGGGTGATTCATACATGCAAGTCACTGACAACTGAGCTGTGTTTTATCAAATGAAGTCCCTGTTACAGTGAGCTTGGTCTAACTCCAGAAGAAGAATCAAAGAAAGTCCTAAAATCCAGCTTTGCTAAATACAGGGTTGAATTGACTTTAAGCAGGCTCAGAGACTTATAGAGCTAAAGCTTATTTCATAACTGCTTGAAAGGAAGCAAAACAGTGAAGAGGAGGAGACTGTAATATGGCAGATAGATAGCTAGGCTCATAAAGAGAAGATCAAATCCTAATTAAGATACTTGTCCACTATCCAAACCCCTTGCTTTTGTTCCCTGATTATTTATTTACTATTTCAAAAGTGTAAATCCATTTCTCAATTTAAGATGCAAATTCCAAAGTAGCTATAAAAACCAATTTAAAATGGCAACCACTTTTAAAAAGCATACTTAATAAGGACAACAGGAGCATAGTAGCAGCACGACAGCTAACTCCAAGACAAGAAAACATAAAAGCAGCATTAATCAATGTATGCACTAGATAAGAAGCAGCTTAAAAATTTTGATATGAAAATCCCATCAAGTCTCTATTCAGGTTTGTTTGGTTATTTTTTAAAAAAGACATAAGAATTTGGAAAGTTTTTCTCCTACCAAAAATAGTCATAAAAGTACTAGGTGTCATGACAATGCTAGCCCTAAGTATCTGTGTAGCTGCAGCATTCCACAAAGTAGCACACACTAAAGAGAGCGAGTTTGACCCGGTTAGTTCTCTCCGGTCCAGTAACGGTCTGAGGCTGGTGCTACATGTTTAGTGTTGATATCAGAGGTTCCAATGTGACCAGAACACATGCAGCATGATGTAAAAATAAAAGAATGTGTAAGGATAGTGCTGAAATCATTGCCCATCTATTTTTTGTTATCTTTCAGATAGTAGCAATGGGTGTTGATGTATACCTAATGTACATAATGTATACCTTATGTTGATGTACATAAGCCATTCTGGCTCGGGATGATAGGTGCTGAAGTCCAAAACGTTTGAACGTTGTGCAAGGCTCACATACAGAGTATACTTTGTTTTCCAGCTCCCCAAAGACCACAATACCAAGGCATGAATTACCATGCTGATGGTCTACAGCACAGGCTGACAGCTAAGACACACAAACTGTATGCCTCACTGAGCTCTGAAGATAGAATGGTATCCTCAGGCTAAAATTCATAAAGAAAAAAAAAATAAAGAGGACTAGTGGTTATTACTTAAACCCCCTGATCCTTGGGATGCTGGCAGTCTGCATCAGTGCAATAAATAAAGCGATAGCATTGGGTGAGGCCAAAAGTATGATAGGATAATTCTGTCCTTGTTTCTTCCACATGGGCTGAACAAGCCATGCTCTTCTTGCTGCCCTCTAGAGTTCTTTTGACAAAGCACATGTCAGATGAACTGTGTGAACCTCCCAGAAAGCAATCTACAGAGAAACGCAAGAGTAACAAAACAATCCTAGGTACATCTACTCAGGCACAAGTTACACTAATTTGAATAAGAGTTGGTCCAGCTAAAGCAGGAGTTCCCAGATGCACACACCTTTGGAATTTGGAGAGAGTGTTATGGCATCCTCAGAACAGCTGCCACAGGATGGAGCTTGTCCATACATAAAATGGTGTCATGGTAGGAATGGCTGGTCACAAAGCACTCATTTCCCAGAATGCAAATTGGCAAAACTGGAAGAAAATTAGCTTGCCTAGGAAGCTAAGCACAGTGCAGATGTTAGGTCTAATCTTGACAAAACAAAACTACTTATTTGGAGATAGTGCTGAAGGGCAGCTTCCCAGTTCAGGTCATAAAAGCATAAGGGCAGACAGGAAGCCTTATGGGAGCCAATAGAGGTGTCCCTGGGCACACCCGCAATCACACTGGAAACCTCAGTGCTAGTCCATATGACCCTGGCTGGTGGGAAAAATCAGCCTGAAGGATGAGGAAGAGGCTAAGTAGCACTAGGCTGAGTGGAGTCTCGCTGATTGACAGTAAACACTGGGACTGCAGTAGGGGTGGCACTGTGTGCACAAAATGCTATTGTGTCAGGATGCACAGGGCTAAATAGTCTGTGGTTAATGATAGGGAAATGAAGCCAGTGTTGACAGCTTCATTGGCATAAGTGCTCCTTCCTCTTGGCTCATGGTTCAAACATCCATGCAGCAGGCACACGCCTCAAGCTCCCTCCCTCTGAAGGGGGAGTGGAACCAAACAAGCTTTTCATGGATTTTCATTATACCTGGTACTCCCCAGTCCTGAATTCAGTGCTGCTCCCTTCCTTTTAAGTGCAATGCAGAAGACTTCCTGGAAAACTCCATTCCTGGTTGTGTGGAGAAAGGTAACTTTCCAAGCAGTCCTTATCGCTCTCGTATAGGAAATACACTTTAAAAAGAAAAGAAATCTGATGTATGCTCATCTGGGTGCAGCTAGTTTCCAGCAATCTCTCATCAGAAACATTGCTCCCTCCAGGGAAACAAAGATCAATCAAATGAAGAGTTTTCAAAGGATCACACCCCCAGAGTCATGATAAGCAGGACCTGCCAGCCAGTTGGTGGTATACGGAAAGGAAGGCATGTTACCGCCTGCCCTGTATAGTAAAAAGATGACCATACACTATTCACGGTGTCATGGGACTGGATATGGAGGCAATATCTCTAAATGCCAGGGAAGAAAAAAGAGACTTGTGTACTCACACATGCACTCACACTATAAGGTTTTGTGCAGGAAAAAAAGTGACTGATGGTAGTAGATATATCAGTTTCTTCGAATGAGTCCTGGAGAATGGAGACACCTATGAATGCAAGAAGAGCCTTCCCAGATCAGACCAAAGCTCCATCTGATTCAAAGTTTCATTTATTTATATATTCTGAAACTCAGATCCCACTCCTAGTTGTCTTACAAGAAACCCAAGGTGGCTTACACATGCCTCTTATTTTATCCTCACAACAAAAAGGTGTGAGTGCTTAAGCTTGTGATGTAGCTTAAGCTGAGAGTCAGCAATTAACCCCAAATCACTCAGGGTGCAGCTGGCACTTGAACCCAGATCTCCCAAGTCCCACTGTACCATAGTGACTAGTTGACCAGTGAGATGCCACTGGGAAGTTTACGAGCAGAAAGGAAACAAACCTCACCTCTTCTTTGTCTCCAGCATGCAGTACTCACAGGTATAGTGCCTCTGAACATGGAGCTTATTTCACCTATCATGGTCATTCTCCATGAATTTGTCTATTCTGTTTTTAAAGCCTTGGTATCAATTTCCATGTGGCTACTAGTATGCATGGATAGTGAAGCTAGAAGCATGTTGTGCCTGCTTCAGACTGGCCGGTGCATGAATGCAAGGACTGCTCCTGTTCATGGAGCTGAGATAAAACAGAAGCTCGCCACAGGAGGCATGGTGGGGGAATGATTTTTTCCATCTCCCCTTGCTGCTGCATTCCCCCAAAGTGCCTCGTGGGCTTCTCTAAAAGGTCACTCAGCCCTCTGGAGTAAACCCCCAGAGAGCATCCAAGACTGATGGGGCAGGATGAGAAAAATTGCCTCCTCCACAGCTGTTCTCTGCCATGTCAGAATCTTTGCCAGTTGCACAACCAGATCTGACCCATAATGTTGTTCACAGCAGCTTTTAAGCAGTACAGTATTAGGAATTTCTTCCTCCAGAAATGACCTCTGCTTCCCCTTACAATGGGATATTTGGTTTGAGAAGTGTAGCAAGATACTTTGCTCAAGGTCTTCATTATATTTCCTCACGAAAGACACTACTAGATGTTCAGATCTATTATCTTGATCTTGTCTTCCATTTATTGCAGGCGCCTATCTGGAAATCAACTCTCTAAGATCCCGGGGGAAGCATTTTCTGGCCTCTACAATTTAAAGATTTTGTAAGTCACAATTGCTTCAGTCTGCTGCTGCTGCTGCTATCATTCTCTGCGCTGGCACTGAATCCATAGCTTTTCCTCATCAAAGGTCTTCATGCTTTCATTCACTATCTGCATATGTCAGGACTCATTTCAGAGGCAATCATAAACATCATTTCAGGAATGTTATTTATTAAATATTCCTAGTATGAAGAGCTGGGTTCTAGCCAACTTTTTCAGATCATGCTCATGGAAGATTCCCAGCTGAACTGCAGTAAAGATTAAGGCAGCTCAGGGCTTCTAAATAATCCCCTCCACCCCACTCTAAGACACTGCAGGATTCCCATGGTCATCACCTGACTGCACTTGAATCAACATCTTTCTGGTTATTTTTCTTTCCCATTTTTACTGGTCAGCAATTTAACCAAGGAGAAGGAATTATGGAAAGCTTTTCATGTCTCCTTCACTGTTTGCCTTGTTCCTTCCCTGTATGGCATCAACTCCCTTCAGGGCTGAGAATTTTTGCTGTTAAGTATTAAGCAGTTGAACTATCAAATTCTGTTCAGCTATCATTTGTAGAGGACATGGGGCAGATATAGCTTTGTGTAGCAGGAAAAGAAACTAATGCCTCCTGTTCCAGTGTTTGTAGATTGCAGTTCATCTCAATCTGAGGATGTGAACTGTGTCCACAGAGGCTTAAATCAGAATAAATGGCGCCACAAGAATCTTTGTTGTTTTTGCTGCAATAGACTAAGAGAGCTAACAGAAATGGTTCACTGTCCTGAGACACCAGTAGATGGATGGTCTATAAAAACCTTAAATAAATATATAAATCTCTGGATTTCCATGCTGGGCTGTGCTTACAGAAGTACAGTCTGTGGTTAGCAGTGGTGTAGTGGCACAATGGCTCACAGGAGTGGCATATTTTTTATTAGCACGGGCCATGACATCTACCTGTGAATTTATCCACAATCCTCAAAATAGCTGATGGATAATTGATTTTCCCAGAAGCATATTGTTCTCTACTGTAATGCAAAGAATTTTGGGGACTTTGTCTTAAACGGGTAACTAAGATGCATTGGTTTTACAAGAAACTGGTTCCTAATGGACGGGAGACCTGCTGCAACTGGCTTGTTGTATAACTTTTTGGCTTCTCAATGGGGAATACTGTGGGAACTGTTATGGTGAGAGCCTCCTTCTCAAAACATGGCTCTACACTATGGGTGGGTAGAAAGTAGTAACAAAGCAATCAGAGAAGTGTCTGACTGTGTAGAATTTGATATGGAGCCCTTAACAGAAGTTGTGTGGAGATCTCTATAATTTCCAGTAGCTTCCTGTGGTTTGTGTTAGTCTAGATCAATGCAGAAGCATTGGGCTTATGTAGGTACAGCACTTCTGCTATCTTTCTTTCCTGGATACAGCCCTGACCCTGCTACTTGCCCTGTAGTGAGGCCTCTGGAACAGTAACCATCCCAAAACTGATTACCAGGATTGGAGACTGCTTCCTCCAACCACCTGTGGTCATCTTCATAACAAATGTCTCACCAGATGGTACAGCAGATTTTTATTTGTCTTTCTTTATTTGCAATATTGCACAAGCAATCTGGTTCTCCTGGGTGTTTATTTAGGTGCTCAGAACTTCATCTTCTCTCTTTCCAAGAAGATGTTTTACCATCCCTTCTCTCCTGCAATAAACATTTCAGGCCTGCGGGCATGTTTGGAACCCAACCACAATGTGAAATCGCTGTAGCCGACAAAGTTTATACGAAGCAAGCAGGTAGTAACCTGCTCGCAGGATTAGAGAGTGCAGGGCTGTTTACTAGGCCTTCTAAAGAATCCTGCCCTAAATCCCTGGGTTTAGAGATGAGTTGCTGCTTTATCCACTGTCTGCATTAGGCACTGAATCAAAGAAACCAAGAAAACCACAGCAAACCCACCCTGTTTCAACAAGGGCAACACTATGCACAGAGAACTTGTGGTCTTTGAAAGCCTTTTTTCATCAGTTTACATTGGAGCATTTCCCAGTGAAACAGCTAAAAAGAAGCATGCCGGTCTCCCTGAAACTAAAAAAGCACCTCCTTCAGGTCGTACTAGTAGTAGCAAAAACCGCGCAGGCATTAGAAACAGGCTCGGAGGCAGACCACGAAGGGGAGCTTTGGCAAATTCAGGAGAATGGAAATTCATGCTAGGATATCCTTCTGTGCTCACAGAGCAACCCATTGAGCAAGAGATGGAGACGAAGTCAATTTCTTAGCATTATCTGATAAGAGTACATAGTGAGTATCCATTTTAACTCAGTGGGCAGGTTCACACATCACTGCAAGCCATGGTGTTGTTTTGTTTTTGGTTTTACCATCGTGGGTCTGTCATCTTATCCAAACCCCAGTGTGGTATTCTGGCATGGTACGTTTGATCCTTAGATATCACAAACAGAAGCAACGGTTTGTCTTGTGGTTTCTCCATACCACTATGGCTTGTTTGTGTTGACCAAACCTGGAAAACATAGCGCTTTGTGGTATGACGGCCAGTCCCAGAGAGTTTCTTGGCAAGAAGAGCCTGTTGCCACTCTTGCCACACGGCTAACCAGAGAGTGCCTCTGACAGATGCTGCTTGCTGTTGCTCTCAGAGGTGGCCCCGCTTTGCCCACTTCCCACCCTAGAGATCTTTGGGACAGGAGTACACAGTCGGCTGGGTGCCACTGTGGAAGGGGCTCAACCCCCAAATGTGAGACAAGCCCTGCACAAGAGAGCCGGGTGGCAATGCCCAGTTGGCAGTCATGCCACTAAGCTGGTTGCCCACTCGCCCCCTTGATACTGCTGCTTGTGAGAAAGGCATTTGGGCGGGCACTGGGTTGGGGATGCCTCTGTCACAAGCAGGAATGAGAAAGGGGGTGAGGAGAGAAGACAACTGAGTGGCGCTGTATAAGAGGCTTCTCACAGATGGGCATGAAGTGGGGGAGTGCAGTGCAGCCCAGCTGCAGCCCAGCCTTTCTGCAGTGCAGCCCAGCTGATATCCCCCCCTCCACATTACCTGCATGTGGATCAGGGCCCCCTCCTGCTCCAGCAGTTCCTCCCTTTTGGTTGAGTGTGGATCTGACATGCCCCATAGCCCAGGATCCTCTCCAGAGCAGCTCCCTCATTTTCTGTGCTGTACTTCCACTCATGAGCTCTGTTTGCACAGCAGAAACTGCTTGACAGCTGCTGTGCACTGAACTCAGCTCAGAATTACAGCTGTGAAGGAAAGGAGCCTCATTCCTCCTCAGAGTGTCTCTTGAGGCACTGCCTGGATGATCGAGAGGGGAGGAGATGGGAGGAGAGAGGAGACTTACCACCGTGACCCTACTGGTCTGTCAGGAACAGGGAGATAAAAAACTACAATTTGTGGTTACCATTCAGGTTGTTTGTCATGGTGTGTAAACCAGGTCATTGTTTGGAAACATATTGACTCTAACAGAATGTCCCTTGTTTTGGGGATGGGCTAGGCCAACCTTTTTCCAAACTGGTGAAATAAAACAATTAGAAAATAAGCATACTGGCATATGTGCATATATGAAACAACAAATCGTGAGCCAGTCCATGAAATTGTTTTCTGTAAGTCTCAAGGTCTTTATCAGACAGCACAGGGGTGTGGGAGGGCTGTAGGGCCACAATCCGTTTTGCAGATGCCATCAGGGCCTTGTCTGGGGGGCAGGCAGCAGCTGAAAGCAAAGGGGCAGGGCCAAAATACCAACACCTCCAGGATATTGTAGCTTAAAGCTCTTATTGCCAATAAAAACGCTTTAGAAAATTTGTACAAGGAATGGGGGGACTGCACAAAGTCAAGAAGCAAGCAAACAATCAGTGGTTCAGGGAAAGGGGGTGGGGGGGGGACAAAGGAAAGGGGTGTGGACTTCTCAGGGACCCGGAAAGCCAGCTTAGGACCCTAGATAGGCAATGGACCTCAGATTCCCCATTCCTGTCTTAAGGGGTCTGTATATTTTTGCACTCGAAGCAAAAATAGAAACAATTCTGTTTTCTAAAGAACTGGAACATGTTTTTATAATAAGATGGAGATGGAAGTCAGGAAAACAATATCCCTTCTGAAATTGCTTTGTGGTAAGGCTGGTTCTGTCAAAATCATAGGTTATGTTTGCAGCCATGTAGGTTCTCCTGCAAAGAACCTGATGAGAGGTGTTGTGTTTTTTGTTTCTTGTTTTTCTTGGTAATGAAACCAGTCAACTAGTTGCTAAGCAGGTGGTGTCTGCATTAGTTTCTGTGAGAATGCGTCCACCCAACATTTCCATCTTTGCCTTTTATCAGAATGGAGGAACAGTGAGGAAGGCACAAACTATAGAGGTCATAGGTCACAAAGGCAAGTTTGGCAGTGACTTGTTGGAACAGGACTATAAAAACTACCATGTAGCAGTTGCAGGAAAACTCTTGCTTTCATCAGGCACAAGATGATCCAGGCAAAGAATGAAAATTAAATACCCTGATAACTTTCTGCAGCTCTATTATGTTCAGCTTCTAATGGAGCTGTCTTTCCATGGGGCTTCGTTGAGCCTTTGGGTGCCCTTTGCACCAGCAACAGTAAGCTATGCAGGGCTTAACTTTGAGCAAGGAGAGCTCACATGTGCTCAGTGCACAGACCCTCTTTTGAAACCAGTAAAGCACGGTGTTTTCTTTCAGGGAAGAAGTTAGGGTTCTCCTTGCTCATGTCTTTATTGTCTGTTCTTTGGATAGACTTGTTGCTTAGGAAAAGGCATTCTACCTGTGCTCAGTAGCACTTTTCTTCATTATTAATTCTCTGCTTCCAGGCTCATCCAATTAATGTAAACAGGATGAAGTACCATTCTCTGGCACAAATCAAATTTTGGACATAATAAAACAAGATTACGAGATCTAAGCACTGACATTTCTTTAAACACCAGTACTCCACAGACCTGAGATTCAGAAGCAGGCCTTCTAGTTTGAGAAGGTGATATCCAAGGCATTCTGGCGCATTCTGGTTTGTAGCGGAATTCAGTGACACAGTATTTTCATGAG